GGATTTGTTGATTACCCTGTCTTGCAGATCACCAAAAACAAAACAAACAACAAAGTAAACAAACACGTACAAAAAAGGAAGTGCGATCAAATAAACAATACACAGACAGAAAATCAAACAACAAAACAACAAAACACATGTCTAAACAAACAAAAAACAAGAAACATGTAAGATAATGGAGCTACTAGACTACAGAAACTTCTTCAAGAAATCAAAAGAGAAAAGAGCAGCAATATACAATAGACAGAATAGTTGGATCTTTGAAGAAGACAGAAAGATCGCCAAATTTTTAGATACAGATAAAGTACACACTATTGCAATAATACAAAGTTCAACATTATTATGACTGGGCTCAATACAAGGAAACAAAAGGAGAGAGCCTATCAAAGTCAGAAGCGACTCTAATAGGAATAGAGCATAACACAAATGATATTTCAGTACAGTACAATATAAGCAACAAGGAAATTGATCCTAAGCCTATGGAGATTACATACTCAAAGAAAGTAACAAAACAAACAAATATAAAACCAAAGGCTGAAACTATGTCTATATATAATATAGTAAATGAACAAAAATAGGAGAATATTGAAACAAGTGCTATAAATTCAGCTCAAATAGAAATTACTCCAACATGCATAACAGAACAAATGCCAAAGCTACTAGCAATATAGATGGCAATCTACAGTATTCTTCATGAAAAAAAAATTATATAGAACAAGAAAGTAGTATATATAGTAATGATGATAAGTTGGATTAGTCAAAGATATGCTAATATGAAATGAGTGTGGTATCTCTGACTATGGCATTAATGAACAAATAGTAGGAAAAGTTAAGTCTAAATCAAGATTAACAGAAAAAAGAATTAGTAAAAAGCCCAAGCAATATGAAGATATTTACAACTCTGTATAGGCTCTAAAAGGCGAATTCAAACTGCAAAATATAGCAAACTTGCAGTATTTTTTTACATTATGGAATTTATCGAAAGAAATGAATATGAACGCAATTAAAAATATTTAAATTACTTCAGGTCAGAAACTATTCTGGCTTGGCAACAAAACTTTAAATCCAAAGCAGCATATATTAAGGTAATGGCAAGTATTGCAAAAAGAGAGAATACCTTAAAAGAAAGCTGGTTAATTCATTTGGACAGAGGCAAAACATATAGAACAACTCCAGGTAGATTTAATATTGCTGAATTAGAAAAGAGAAACAAATACAAAGCCACAATCAAAAATATGCTAACAACAGCATCAGATAGTCTATTACTCTGCCAATTGAAAAGATACAAAGTCCAAGCAGTACATATTCCAAATAATCGAAATAGAAATCAAAGCAAAAGGGCGTATATATACTTCAAAACAGAAGAAGAGCTAATTCAAGCTCAGAAATATACTATATACTATTTCAACACCAAATTGCAGTAGCAATTACAGACAGCACCAATTATTTAACTTTGCATTCTGGGTATCAAAAAAGATTATTGAGTACTATAGAAACACATGCTTCACAAAGCAGAGAAAAGAAACTAAAAGTTTCATATAAGTCTAGAAATCCACATACCAGGTATATTGTTTGTGAGCAAAGTAGCAGAGCAAATAGTGTTTCTAGATTAAGAAGCACAACTAGAAAAACACTCAACAGATCAGAAAATAAGATATTACAGGATCAAGATTACCTTACAACAAAATATGCAACTAGCTCGAATAAGGTGGAATTAGGAAACAAGAAAGGAAAACAAATTAAAACTCAAGAAGCTATAGAAGATGATAGTGAGATTAAGAGCATGCTCAATCAGATTATGAATAGACTTAGCAACCTAGAAAACCAGAGAAGCAATAGGGGCGATGAGGCTCCAAACTGCTCCTAAGGGCGCCCCAATTGAATTAAAGCAAAGAAATAAGATAGAACAGCCTACAACTATCTTACAAAAAGAAATACTAGTGGGCTAGATATAATAAAAAGATTATCTTCTAGAGTGAACATAGAGTGAACATAGAGGAAGCAAATACTACTAGTATAGGAAAAGATACAAAACCTAAAGATAGAACACTAAGCTTAGCATGCCACAATATCAATGGTCTCAAAACAAATTAGCAAAAGTTTGAGCTCCTGGAACATTGGGAATTAGAAGAGAAAATCAATATAATAGAACTAACAGAAACAAATATTGGAAAAAAAGAGGGCTTTTATTTAAGTAGAAAATGAAATAATTTTAGGTTTTTCTGGTCGAAGGCAGCAAAGAATAAAAAGAAGGGCTCAGGGATAGCATTATGAGTTTAAACTTGTTGGGAAAAACATCTAGGTAGTATTGATACAAATGAAGAATATATCTTAGTAGCTAGATTCTATCTCAAAAACATAGAGCTTATCATAATTGTAGTATACATACCCCCAAATGATGAAGAAAGAAAAAAGAGTATACAAAAGTACATACTAGATTTATTTATAAAAAAAAGTAAACAGGCTCATATAGTAATAATGGGGGACTTCAATTGCATAGTAGATCCAAGTCTGGATAAGCTTATTAATCAAGAGTTAGGTAGACATAAACTATCAAGAATCCATAGATAGTTGAAAAAAAACAGTTTTGCTGATACATTTAGATTTATATATCCAACAAGCAAAGAGTATACATGGTCCAACAGCACAAATACAACAAGAATAGACCAAATTTGGATATTTGAAAATTTAATAAAAAGCCTTACAAGTGCAAAAATTTCGGATATGGAATATATTACCAAAAGTGATTATGGAGCAGTGCATTCTATATTAGATTTGAGTTCATTTATATTAAAGTTGCTAGCAGCAATAGAAAAAAACAGAAAACATTTTAGAACAGTGTACCTCTATGATGAAACAACAAACAAAAACTAGGAAGAATATAGAAAAGTGTTAGAAAAGAAACTAAAAAAAAAAGAAGAGTTACTTGCACAATTAAAGAAAAGAGTAGAAGTGGGTAGTGAGATTAATAGTGAGCATTCATCCCAGTTGGCAAATCAAATTTGGTCATTACTAAAAACGAGCATCCTTGAGGCAGCAAATAGAAGCCTTCCAAAGAAGAGAATATATAATATAATCACTCAAATCAAAAATAATAGTACCAAAACACAGCTAGCAAATTTAGTAAAAGAAATAAGTAGATAAATAAGGTGTATAAGAAAAGCTAGCAATTTGGAAAGTTTCGAAAAGGTGAGAGATGAGGTCAATACAAGCATTAGAAAAACAAACAGAAAAATAGATCTTGAGATGCCTGAGATAAGTTTAGAAAGCTATATAGAGTGGCTAGAGGATATGAAAGGCTGGTGGAGAATTATAAATAGAAAAAGAGCTGAAGAACTAGAAGTTACCAAACGCAAGGAAATAGAACTAAGTATAAATCGAAAATGCAAACTAATTGAAAATAAACAAGAAAAAATGCTAAGAGGCCTTCTAGACAAACCTTGTAGTAAAATTACAATAGATTGAATTTTCAAAGAACAAAATGGAGATAGAACCTTGATTATGGAACCAAATCAGGTTTTACAAAAACTAAATCATATTATGAGAGACAAATGTGAAAAAGAGTACCCAAAAAGCCAGAAGAGGTAGAAGCATGGGCAGAAGTTTATCAACCAATTAATTGGGTTCAAGAAGACTGGTATTCTAATTTAGAAAGCGAAATTACAGAAGAAGAGTAGATCTCCACATTAAAGTTTTTAAAAAGTGGCACAGCTCCAGACCTATTAGGGATTACATATAGCCTCCTCAAAAATACAAGTACGTCAACTCATGAGTATTTTAGATCTTTTGCAAACTTCTGTTTAAGAGAGCTGGCCATACCAGAGGAGTAGAAAAAGACACAAATTTACCCAATACCAAAAAGTACAAGTTGGAACTACGATTTAGGGAATACAAGACCGATTGCCCTTTTAGAAACATTCAGAAAATGTATAACAAAAATTATTACCAATAGGCTCTCAAAAGTGCTTACTAAATACCAAATTCTTCAAGGATGCAATTTTGCAGGGTTACTAGAAGGTTCTACAAAACATCCAGTTCATATATTAAACATGATCACAGAAGATGTGAAAGAGAAAGATGCCGAGTTATGGGTAGTTCTGCAAGATATGAAGAAGGCTTTTGATTCAGTATCACTAGAGATACTACAAAGAACAATAAAAAGAATAAAGATTTCACCTAAAACAATAGAGATAATTCTAATGCTCTTTAAAAACAGAAAGTCACATATAATAACAGCGTTAGGCCTTACAAATCTAGTTGAAATGAAAGATGAAATAGAACAAGGAGAGGTTTTCTCACCACTACTTTGGCAGATCTTCTATGACCCACTATTAGTAAGAATACAGAAGAGTAAAGAGCTTGGCTATACTATAGAGGCTCCAAACCCTAACTTGTTGCAAGAGGGTAAAGCAAGAAATGAGAAAGTAAGGGTGGCAGTTGTAGCATTTGCAGATGATACTATATGGATTGCCCCAAATAGACAAGTGATAGAAAAAACACTTACAATTGCAAATGAATTCTTCGAGCTCAATAATATACAGATCAATGGGAAAAAGTCAAATCTCATAGTATTCAACCCAGAGTCTAGATCAGAAGAAAGATATATTATATTTGGAATGAGAAGAAAGGGCAAATAATATAACAAGAGTTCTTAGAATATGGCTCAACTGTAGAATGAATGAGAATTTAGTGCACAAGAAGGCCAAAGTAATCGTATAGCAAACAGTAGAAGCACTAAGGTGGAAAAAACTTACAGTTAGTCAATTAGCATATATCAATAACATGTGTATTATACCCAAACTTTGCTATCTATTACAATTATCAAGAGCATCTGAAGACTTAATAGATAAGATCCACCAACTAATAATTAGACTAGCAAAAAGCAAACTTAACTTTCAAGTTACAGTGCCGAACTATGTAACTACATACAAAAATATAGGAAATTTCAGAGTATTAAGTATAGAGCTATTTAATAAACAGATCACAAGTCTATATAACAGATTAAATGATGAAGAAGTAATTAGCAAAATTACTGAACTGAGAATTTGGCAAGAACACCAAATAGCTGGTTTAACAGAGAGCTTTGATGGCCGAGAAAAACATATAGGGCTCGAAAAACTCTGGAAATACAATCAAGCAATGCTAACTTTAGTAAAGGGAGCAAAGAATCAATTAGTAATTAAACCAACACAAGGTAGTTGGGGAACCAGAGATATAGGTAGAACAATATGTAGTATGATAGAAGAAAAAGCTTTCATACAGTGTGCAAAGATGCTAAAATTCTTAGATCTAATATTTATTGAATAGCTCTTAGATATGCAGGAGAAGCAGATGATTACATGGTATTATCTTAAACGAGTCAAAGAAAGATCTAGCAAAGGAAAAGTCCCAATTTGGTTTAGGTCAATTGAAAATTAGATGATCATTAACTTTGATACAAGAGAGATAAAGCAAGATCTGCAAACAAGTAGTACAAACAAATTAGCATTAATACCCCAAAAAGTGAAAGTCTCAGAAGACAAATATAAACTCGATTGGATACTAGTTAACAACAAAGAGAACAAGTCAGACATTCAAAGAGTAGTTAGCAAGAGCAAAGAAGAATTTCGCACAGAGAAGTGGTTAGTTAGTAAAGAAGAAAAAGGTAAAATCAGATTAGATAAAGAAGTAATTACGTCAAGCAACACCCAACAAACAGAGTGGATTAATAAGAAAAAAGTAATCATAGTATTGCAAAGGCTTAGAAAGCAAAATAGTAGTTAGGTTCTTGATATGACACTAAACTCACTTGAAGGAATTAGGAAAAATAATATTGATACGGTAATAACTAGTAGGAGGAAAATAGGTAGAGACTCGTATAGTTTAAAACATGCAAGCCTGGCAGATATAATTTATATAAATAAGTTAGAAAGGGACTATATTAAAAAACAAGGGTTTGGCAAATATTGTGAGAGTTATTATTAAATCAACTAGATAGAAATATAGAAACAGATCAAAAAACATTAACATTCAATACAGATGGCTCATTTTTAAAAGAAATGAAAAATGGAAGAGCAGTGTGCAAACAGGGTTTAGGTTGGTTGCAAATTGACAAAAATGAAAAAAACAAGTTATAGGAGGGTTGTCTTAGTATAGAATATTGGCTGTCATTGACAAGAGCTGAATTGGCAGCAATATAGGCAGTTCTACTTATTGCCCTGATAAGGACCAAAATCAAAATATATATAGACAGTGCAGCTGCAATAGATGCAATCAAAAAAGGTGAAGATCTGAGAATGAATAGAGAATAGCTAAAACAAAAAACTACTTTTTGCTACTCAAAATTATAAATGCCAAAAACACAAAAAAGTTAAAGCTAGAATTAATTAAAGTTAAGGGTCATAGTAAGAACAAATGAAATGATGAGGCAGATCATTTAGCAAAAAAAGGTTTGCTAGCACCAGACCTACAAATACAGGAGGTAGTATCAGGTTTAAGGCTCAGATACAATGTTTATTGGTAGAACAGCCTTATCAAAATCCCAACAAGAAATTTTGTCAAAGAACTCAAAGACACAAAAATTGCGGCAAAATGGAGAATGTTAAGTGCTGTAAGTCTACTTGAGCCAAGAGACAACACACAGAAGTGGGATTTGAAAAGTCTATAGAAAAGAATCAAATCTCAAAGTGGAGTGCACTGTACATCAATACAAAAAGGAAAAAAGCTCGACTTCTTGATCAAGTGCTTGTATAATCAGCTCCCAGTACTGAGTAACCTCTTTAAAAGAAGGCCAGACCTATATAAGGAGAGTAGCTGCAAATTGTGTAAAGATAATATAGAAGAAACACAAGATCATTTAACATGCTGCAGAGCATAGCAGATCTATTGGCAAAAAATTAAACAAGCAGCAATTGAAGCAGTACAAGCCCTCATAAATAAACCTAAAAGAAGGGAAAAATTACAAACAAGCAAACTCCAGTGATACTTATTTGGTAAAATTTACAGGGAGCAAAAAGAGCTTTACTCGGGGCCTATTTAAAAGTACAGTTATAAAAAAACTCATCAACCAAGGCTTAACAAAAAGAGAAGCAAACTTAGCCTTAAATACAACAATATATATTTTGTGGAATGGCTTTCATGAAATTATATGGCAATCAAGATGCGAAAAGATGATAGAGTAGGAAAAAGAGAAAGGCATCTCTAAGCAGCAAAAATTAGAAAAAGAGCCAAATTGCAGGATAAAAAAAAGATTAGCAGAAAAAGAAAAAAGAAAAGACAAAAGCACAGAAACGTTCTGATCAGAAGAGTAGAAAACTGCCTAATTCTAAAGAAGCCATGGTACAGAAGATTAATGATAGGAAGAAAAACATGAATAGAAGAATAGATGCTTTGGTAGAGAAGACAATTTGGAATAGAATTAGAGTTGGTGAAAAGCCATTTTGTTGTGGCACTTAGGTTGATTTAACACAGCCCCTAGTTTTTAGAGTAATCTTCAAACTAGTGCGGCAGGTTGCACTTGGGTGCCATTAGGCAGTGTTGTACATGGGACGTGTTCACACTATGTAAAATATCCAACGTCCAAGATTGTCCAAAATCGTCCAAGCCTATGTCCCATGTTTAACTAATCAATAAAGTAATTAAAAAAATATATATAATTATATATTTTTTTAGGT